TAAGTCCCCTAGGCACCTAAGTTTCTACCAGTTGGTATTCACAAACCTCCCATAGCCCTGACTGCCCCATGGCTAACAAGCTGCTCAGAGACTTAGCTGAAGCTGAAAGCCTTGGAGGCCCCAAAGTGGGATTCTGAAACCAGGCAGGACATGTCAATAGGGTACAATCCTTTAGGTGTGCTTTGAGCACGCCTAAGACCCAATACGTGAGAGACCCCACAGCAGAAGGGCCAGACTCAGGCCCCCAACAGGCAGATGGGCAGCACAGCACCCACACAAGACAGCAGGGACACAGGGAAATGTAGGGTGAGTATGAGAGCAGTATCGAGCATTAGCAGGAGACGCTGAAAGAGAGAGACTGTTTCAGCTGCTAGGGCATGGGCTACCTAGGAACTAAGCTAGGTCAGCTGCTTAATTCTAGGAGAGGGTTCACAACTGAGGATCCCAAGTGGAGGGAGGACCTATCTCTGTCCCATCAGCCAGGCGGCCCATGTTAGGTGCCTAAGCCCTCCTCTTTCCACCCCTTTCCTTGGCATTTCACTCCTCGCTAACTTAGGTGACTTCCAGTCAGTTTGCTGGTTTCTGAGAATGCCTTTCTGGGGCCTCTGCCCCTCCCTGTGTGCCTAGCTGGAGGCTGAGGAGTCGATTAGGCAGCAGTCTACCTAGGGGTTAGGCATTGCAGTACTGACTGGAGCCACCCCTACATACCTTTGAGTTTCTGGGCCTCCGTCTCTTCCACTTACAAGACACATTTATGACCTTCAGAATCTTCTGAATCAAACGTATTTGAAAATACATTGATGATGGCAAATACTTGAGATAGTGAGCAGTCCCTCTCCACTCCCTCTCCCCTACTTTTATAATTAACTTCCTTTTTTCCCCTATATGTCTCCTTATATTTGCAAATATGTACAACTCACCCTTTATTATGGCCATAACATGAAATAATATTATGCAATATTCTTCCGTTACCCAGTGAGGAACTAACTCTAACTAACAATGGGTGCTATCATACACACTGTAAGGAGAGTGATCACTTAAGATGAGCTAATACCAGCAGGAGAGCGGGGGGAGGAAAAACCTTTTGTAGAGATAATCAAGGTGGGCCATTTCAACCAGTTGACAAGAACGACTGAGGAAAAGTGGGGGGGAAGGCGGGGACAGGCCAATCCTTGCTTACAGACAGCCCCCAACCTGAAGCAAATACTCACCAGCAACCACATACCACACAACAGAACCACTAGCCCAGGAACCTATCCTTGCAACAAAGCCCATTGCCAACTGTGCCCACATATCTATTCAGGGGACACCATCATAGGGCCTAATCACATCAGCCACACGATCAGAGGCTCGTTCACCTGCACATCTACCAATGTGATATATGCCATCATGTGCCAGCAATGCCCCTCTGGCATGTACATTGGTCAAACTGGACAGTCTCTACATAAAAGAATAAATGGACACAAATCAGATGTCAAGAATTATAACACTCATAAACCAGTCGGAGAACACTTCAATCTCTCTGGTCACTCGATTACAGACCTAAAAGTCACAATATTACAACAAAAAGATTTCAAAAACAGACTCCAACAAGAGACTGCTGAATTGGAGTTAATTTGCAACCTGGATACAATTAATTTGGGCTTGAATAGAGACTGGGAGTGGAGGGGTCATTACACAAAGTAATACTATTGCCCCATGTTTATTCCCCCTCCTCCCCCACTGTTCCTCAGACGTTCTTGTCAACTGCTGGAAATGGCCCACCTTGATTATCACTACAAAAGGTTCCCCCCCCCCCCACTTTCCTGCTGGTATTAGCTCATCTTAAGTGATCACTCTCCTTACAGTGTGTATGATAACACCCATTGTTTCATGTTCTCTGTATATAAATCTCCCCACTGTATTTTCCACTGAATGCATCCGATGAAGTGAGCTGTAGCTCATGAAAGCTTATGCTCAAATAAATTTGTTAGTCTCTAAGGTGCCACAAGTACTCCTTTTCTTTTTGCAAATACAGACTAACACGGCTGCTACTCTGAATTGTAGCTCCTATTGCATTAATGTTTTCTTTGTCCTCTGGGCCTCAACAATTTTCTGTGGCAATGAGTTCCGCTGTCTACTTATGTGTTTTGTGCAGAAGTACAACAGTATCGGCAGTTCATTCTAAGACACGGCCTGCAGATAGTGAAAAAACAGGCTTGATGAAGAATTCTTTTACTTAACTGCCATGGAAGTCCATAGGTGTTTTGCATGCAGCTTATCAACTGAGATTCACCCACAATTAGGGTGACCCCAGATAGCAAGTGTGAAAAATCAGGACGGGGGTGGAGGGTAATAGGTATCTATATAAGAAAAAGCCCCAGATATGGGGACTGTCCCTATAAAATTGGGACATCTGGTCACCCTACCCACAATCAGCCCTTGAGGAGAGCTTCTAAATGTTAATTTCCAGGCTAAATCTTACCAAAGCACTCTAAGAATTGCTCCAGCTTCTTCCCTTCTCTCTCAGTGTTTGTGTAGAGTTAACACCGCTGAAATTGTTAAACAGCAGCTTCTCTCCTCAACATCAGCACATGAGCTAGAAAATGACAAAAGAGCCCCAGCTGCAGAACTATTAGATGATCCTCTTAAATGATGCATGAAAAACAGAATACGCACACACTGATGCTGATACACTAGTCTGATTCTACAAGGCTAGAAATTGCAATAAAAATTGTTTTATATGGTACACTGAGGAAAGGTGAGATAAAAGCCCTGAAAATGCTTCATTGCAACTCAACAGCTATTTGGTTTCATTTTTTTCCCCAAGAGGTTCTGATTTACCTCAAAAGACCTTTGAAGGTCACTTATATCTTGTTTTTCCATTTTGTTAAGCATCTCAGTACGCTACTTGTGGGATGTAATACACTTTTAGTGTATTTTTACTATTGGCCTCCTGAAGACAAGATTGGACTGAGGTAGCTATATATGTTTATAAAATATGCTTTAGCAGGATAAATACATTCTGACAGCAAAATATCAGGAGATGTAAAGAGGCCCTCCCATACTCCCATCCCATCACCTGCTGTTGTCTTATGATGGAGAGACCTGGTGGCTTGCTATATGCCTTTGCTTTCTTGGCAGAGGGGCGGCTGGATGGTAGTCTTGTTCACATTGGACTTGGATCAATGGGTAATAAAAATTCCTCACCAAATAGTTGTGTGCTCACAGAAAAGAAAATAACAAAGAATTGAATTATAGGTCTGGCAAGAGGGTAAAATAAAATCCTGCCCCATAGTCTTTTCTAAAGCATCTTTATGTAGCACTGTTTTCTAGAAATGCATATTTTGTAACTGTCAGCCACTAGAGGGCAAACTGGACTAAGTCAAGGGAGGTAGTGGAATCTCCATGCTTAGAGGTTTTTAAGGCCCAGCTTGACAAAGTCCTGGCTGGGCTAATTTAGTTGGTGTTGGTCCTACTTTGAGTAGGGGGTTGCCTACATGACCGTCTGAGGTCTCTTCCAACTCTAATCTTCTATGATTCTATGATTTAACAAAAAGAAAATAAATCCTTGCCCAATAACATGGATTGCTCAATTTTAATTGTGGTTTATTGTATAGGAAGGAGCCCTTCCTCTCAGCTATACCTGCAGGGAACCACATACCAGCCATACCAACTCTTTCTGGAACAGTCTGAAGCTTGACTACTCTTTCTATTGCTACCATTGCATTTGATATTACATCTCATCAAGGATCTAATCCAAACTCTGTTCTCAAGTACTCGAGTGCAAATCTGAAGTAATTGCTGATGTCAATAGAGATACAGCAGTGTTTAACCAGTGTAAGCGAGAAGAAAAGTAGGTCCCTTGTGTCTCTGCCTCACCTCTTCTCATGGACTTTAAAGGGACTATTATGATCATGTAGGCTCACCTCCTGCACATCACAAGCCACAGAACCTCACCCATCCACTCCTGCAATAGGCCCACAACCTCCGGCTGAGTTACTGAAGACCCAAACCTGGATGAAGAAAGTGATTGAAAAAGTGCTTAGAGTAATTTATTTTTTCAATTAATCTAATAAAAGTTTTACAACCTACTGTTTCAATTTTTTTTAAATGTTAACAGCATTTTGAAAAACAGACGATACCACAAAACAACAACAGTAATTTTCACTTCCTTGTAGGTGTCACTAGTCCATCCTAGTTATGAATTACCAATTTAACTCTGGTTATAAACCCATCCTCTATTCTTTATAATGGCTGCAGTGAGAAATATGAACATATAGATGAATGTTAATTTTCACATATGTGCTTCTAGCAATAAAAATTTGCTATGAAAACTACTTGCTATGATATCACATAGGCGCGGGAACCAGGGGCATGGGGGATGCTGCAGCACCCCCAGGTTCCAGGCTGCTGGCCCCATGCACCCGGAGTCCTGGTTCCTGGCCCCGCATTCCTGGGGTCCCAGCTGCCTCAGCTCTGAGGGGGCGGGGATGGATAGGCGTAAGGGGGCTGGCTTTCAGTACCCTCCACTATTAAATAGGTTCCAGTGTCACTGCTATGTAGTATAACAAACTTAAAGAATAAGAGTAAGGAACATATGGAATTCACAGCAACTAGCACTAGCAGCAAGCAACTCACATGAACTACTAGGAGGAAGTAATATCTTTAGGCAACTTCTTAAAAGGTTTATGCAAATGATTCTTTTAGTGGAAAGGGCTGTCTCTGACTGGAAGGTTATGAGAAGAGTAAGAACGTGGAATGTTTAATAAAGGAAAACCACCCTGAAATCTGGAGAATCTATTCTCCCCTTGATGCATGCAAAAATACCATTAATCTTACATAGGCAGTAACAAGATATAGAACCGTTGAGCCAAATTCACCATGGGCATAAGCAAGTGCAACTCCACTGAAGTCAATGGAGTTGCATCTGCTTAGGGCAGCAACAAATTTGACTTTGGATGTCAGAATTTTTAAAAGGTTAGCACATAAAATATCCAGCGTCACAGGTAAACATCAGGTTAGGGCTCTTTCTTTGGCTTCTCAAAAGGGAAATTGTCAAGGTAACTTTCTGCTAAACGTATAAGCTGCCTCACTGCAGAAAGTAACAGGATGTCAACATCACACGAAAGATTCAACTTGGAGCAGTAGTTTTTAACAGGTACAATCTGAGCAAGAGAGATTCCAAGTTTCTCTGCAGTTATCCGCATCTGTAGAAAAGGCACAAAATGGATTATCCTAAAGAGCTCCCCGACTATTTTTCAATCTTTCTGTTCCTTGAGGAAGCTAGGCAAAAGCTTCAAGTATTTTCACAGATACTGTTTGGTGAGATTAAAAGTGGAAGATATTTTATTTCTTTAAACTTCTTTTTATTGAAGGCATAACCACTTTCACATCATACCCATCCTGCCACTGAAATAGCAACTACATTTTGATGCAGTCACAGTTCAAGGCCATATTCACTATATTTTATTCTTCTTTAGCAAATTCACTGATAGAAACTGACTGTGTAAACTGCCCTGGAGGCTAAAATCCTCTATTTAATCTCAGAGGTGATACCCAGAACACAGGGCTATTTTTCCTTCATAATGATCTATGGCAGAGGCTCTCAAACTGTGGTCCGTGGACCACAAGTGGTCCGCGAGCTCCATTCAGGTGGTCCACGGATAGTTCCCTCTAAGGTACACACCTGGGCGGCCGCACACAAAAGAATGAAGGGCCACACACCTAATTAGTGGAGCCGTGCAGGGGGGAATAGGGGGCTCCACTTGGGGGGAATAAGGGGTAGGTGGGAGGGGGAAGTGGGTGAGAAAAGGGGGTGGGTGGAATTTGGGCTGTGTAGGGCTGTGGTGGCCAGAGAAAGAGGTGAATTTCCCTAGCTCCAGGGCTGTGGCTGCTGGGGAGAGACGGCCCGACTTCCCAGCCTTAGCTCTGTGGCTGCTGTGGTGGGAAGAGAGGGAGAGACCCCGCTCCTTCCCAGTCCCAGCTTGGGGGCTGCAATGGTGGGGGAGAGAGGGAGAGACTCCTCTCCTTCCCAGACCCAGATCAGGGGAGGCTGGGGCAGGGGAGACACCCCTCCTTCCCAGCACCAGCTTGGGGGATGCCGCAGTGGTGGAGAGAGGGCACAGCCATCACATTAGAAAGGTAAGAGTACTGACATTAAAATATGAGTTGTGCGCTTTTATTTGTAGAACAAAAAAATGTAAATTATTACTACAGTGTTTTTTATATACTGCTTTTATCCAAAGCGCTTTACAATAATTAGCTAATAGTACAAAAACATTTGGAAAGATCACTAAATGGTCCGCTGAGACACTCAGCAATTTTCAAGTGGTTCGTGAAAAAAAAAGTTTGAGAACCATCGATCTAGAGAGAACCCCCTAAGGATTCATCTCTGGTATAATTCCACTAAAATCCATATTTGGCCTCTCTAGATACAGGGAGACGCATTCTCTGGGCCAACCCAACTCCTTTGTACTGGATTTTGGTCACAACTAGGCAGTTCAGATTCTGATGAGAATAGCTCTTCGCTGGTATAAAAGTGATACAAGCCAGCTTCTCTGGAACCATGCTCCCGCACACATCCTGATCCGGCGTTGTGTGAGATGTAGGAGTATGGGGAGTACGTCAGAGGCAGGGACGGACCAAGGCAGAGCTCTGCTTTGCTATGCTGAGCCTCTAAACCATGGTTCACACTGGGGCCAGCCCACAGAGTCAGGGAGCTGCACTCAGCTCTCTGACAGCCCTTACCCCAGTGATTAACAGATTTCAGATGCAGGGCAGAATGTAGCCCAGGGTCAGGACTCTACTCTAGGAACTGATCCAGTCCCTTTTATCATTCCTGCTGAACAAAGCGGTCAGAACACAGTCATATCTCCTAAGCTAAATATTCCCCAGGTGGGGGAGACTTCAAATGGCATAGAGCTGGCTATTCCTCTTGGCTGGGAGATGGTCACTTGGGCCACATTTCTCAAAGGTATTTGGGCACCTAACTCCCATTGAAATCAATGGAAGTTAGGTGCCTAATACCTCTGAGAATTGCGGATGGCTAAATCAGCCCAGGCCAGCATCAGTACTGGGGAACTGCAAACCACCAGCAGCCTCTGATTCTCCACAACATTCCACCTTGTGTTAGCATTTATGGCTGTGCAAAGTGAGTGCAGAGTATGTATAAAATTCCATCAAAGCAAAATGGCAGCATTGTACAAGCACTCTGCACAGGGTAAATATCTAGACAAAATGGAAGGTAGCAGGGCATCAAACCTTTATGGATTCTCTCCTGAGTCAGACTCTGTCACCATGGGACAGGGGCAAGGAGTCCAAGGAGACAATTTTATATGCTGGTCTGCATGAGCCCGTGTCATGATTTAGAATAGCCTAGGGCAGTGGTTCCCAAACTTGTTCTGCCGCTTGTGCGGGGAAAGCCCCTGGTGGGCCGGGCCAGTTTGTTTACCTGCCACGTTCGCAGCTTCAGCTGATTGCGGCTCCCAGTGGCTGCAGTTCGCTACTCCAGGCCAATGGGAGCTGCTGGAAGCGGCGCGGGCTGAGGGATGTACTGGCCACCGCTTCCAGCGGCTCCCAGTGGCCTGGAGCAGCGAACCGCAGTCACTGGGAGCCGCAATCAGCTGAAGCTGCGGACGAGGAAGGTAAACAAACCAGCCCGGCCCACCAGGGGCTTTCCCTGCACAAGCGGCGGAACAAGTTTGGGAACCACTGGCCTAAGGACTCTACAAAATTCATCCAGCAGTGTTTGCTCCCCGAAAGACAATCTGCTTAAAAAAAAAAAAAAAAATCAGCAGAACAGAGCTCGCTCCCACTTCCTTCCTCCCCTGAAGCTCTCTTTTTTTCAGTTTTATCTATTCACACCAGTGGAAATATGCAGCTGGAGAGTTATGGCCAGACTCCAGCTCCTTTATATGGAGTGGGGTTTCGCAAAAGAATCCGGCCCTTAATTTTTAATGAGGTTTCTGGTATCTCCACCTTTTTCTGTTTTGTAGTTTTATTCTTCAGAGGTGCAACTTGCGATTTTAACAAATCTTAAACCTTTTAGGGGTTAAACCAAAACCTGAGGTATTAAATTTAGTTATATTTTCAGCTTGTGCCTACAAGACCAGAATGAGAATATGTGTAGGAATATGAGGGGATGCAAGTATTGCAAACGTAGAGTATCACAATATCTTGATTTGTTCAAGTCAATTGAGTTAATAGATAGCACCACAGTCAACAATGCCATACTTTACCTGTTTCTCAACAGCTTTGCTTTTGTACACACACTGGATGTCTTCTTCAAGAGTAGGGCAGATTTCATCCACTTTAGTTAGCAAAACCAGTTGTGGGATCCGTGTACCAAAAAAAAAAAAAAAGGAGTAAGATTTTACACCCGATTTCCCATCAGTTCTTCATTGCAGCTGTTTCTGCTTACATAAGGTGAAAGTGTTTTGGTTTTGCACAACAGCATTGGAAAAAGATTAATTATTAAACTAATATTAATTGAACAGTTATTGGGCAGCACCCCAATTGTCTTGATGGGAAGATGTTTTTAAGCAAAATTATTATTATTCCCCGAGTACAGTTGACACCACACTTAATGACTCACTCACCTCATTGGGAAGATTGCCAGGGCCAAAATTCAGTGCAATGAATTCAATTACTCAAAACAAGGGATTCAGAAAACATGGCATACCTAGCTGAGTTCAGTAGCACAACTGGGGCCTGCTTTCACCCCAGTAGGTTATGTCTCTGTCTATTCCCTCCTATGGAAGTGACTCCTATCATGTGGAGAGAAAATCAGGCCGTAGGTGGTGTGTCCAAACACAACCACAAGAGCTAATGATGTAAACTGGCATTTGCAAGCATAAGACTCCCATTCTTCAGTTCTCTTTTCACTTTTTGTTGCATCCCATCTCCATGGCAGCTGCTAAATGAAACATTACCTCTACTCCTTTTTGAAAAGGTTTTATCGCCTTGGATTATATGTATTTTTAAAATAATTAATGAAATAAAAGTGAATATTTCCTGATAAGATGTATTCCTAGGAGCCTTTTACTCCTGGGGGAATTCTGTGCCACCGCACGTATGCATATTCATGTGTGACACATATTTTTAATTTTTTCTGTGTGCAGAAAATAGCTTCTGCTGAAAAGTTACTGCAGTTCTACCTTTTGCCCAACAGAGGGCACTGTGGAGCTAGAACACAGCAGCCAATCCTGGCCAGCACCTGCGCTGATAGGGAAGAGAAAGAGCCTACCTTCTTCACAGTATCTGTTGGGCCAGGTCAGGAGATAGGAGCTATGGGGAGACAGACAGCGTGGGGCTGCTGGGGGTCCGACAGGGGCTCATAATGGCAAGTGGGGGAGGACAGACTGGGGAAGGGGCTGAATGGGAGAGGAAGTGCAGGGCCACAGGGCAGGAGGAAGGTGCAGGGCCACATGGGCACAGGGAGTGCAGAGCTACAGGGGAAAGGAGAGAGGGAGTGGCTGGGTGGGGGCACAGAGACACATGGGGACAGAGGGAGTGGTGCAGAGCCACATGGGGATGGGGGCATGGGTGTCTGAGTGGGCGTGGATGGACAATGTGGACAGGGGGTGCAAGGACACATGGGGATGCAGGGACATACAGGGACAGGGAAAGATATGCCTGACTGAATGGAGGAGGCTAGGAGTCAGCCAGGGTCTGCATGTGGGACACTCCCTAACAATCCCTCCCTGCCCCTCACCAAAAAAAACCTTTTCCATCCTTTTCCCACCAATACCCAAAAACACTTCAAGTTCATACCCAGGCTCCTTCCCAACAATTACTTGCCTCTCTCTCAGCTCCTCTGTTACCCCTGATTCCCCCAAGCCTTTGCACTGCTTCTGAGGGGTGCAGGAAATATGGTTCTGCACTGTAGTTTAAATGAATTATTACTCAGAGTTAGTAAGTAAGCCTAGTAAGGAATCTATTTGTCAAAAAACATTTCCTGAATCTTTTTTGTTGTCTATATTGTTACAGACATACTTACTCACAGTTATTTTGAAATAAATTACCAAAATAATTGAAACTGGTGTGATTATATTGTGTTATTTTGACAAATAAAATATGAAGAATTTTGCAGAATTTTAAAATATTGTGTGCAGAATTTTTAATTTTTTTGGCGCAGAATTTCCCCAGGAGTACTAGAAACCTAGCACAAAGCTCAGTTTCTCTAGTGGGGTCTCTGTCAACAGGAGGACTCTGCTATCCTGAGGAGAAACGCAATAGGGCACACTGTAAAACCAACAAGTAGAGAACAATGGAGGTGATCAGGAATTCCTCTATTCTCCCACCAACACCAGAGCCCATTGCTGTGCCCATACTTCCATCAGTCTGGGAGCCTGTCCTGCCAGAGTGTATTAATCCCACTCAATCTTGGGTGACACTCAAGAGCAATATGTGGCAATTTCTCCTCCCACACCAAGGATAAGCATGGCTCCTAGCAGTACTTCAAACCCCTCATGACCCAAGGTGCTCAGGCTTGAAAGGCAGATCACCTCCTTGGCATGCCCACTTCATTCAGTTCTATGATATTAGGAGACATAAAACATACCAAAATGGTTCACTTTTCTTCTAAGCTGTTTCAGCTTCTCTTCCAGTTTCTCAGGAAGAATCTCAGTTTTGCACCCATCAATAACAAATGTAACACAATGAATCTGATCCTTCAGAGAAGGGGTCTTGATATAGCCTTGAGAATCTGGATGAAGGGTGGCAGCTGGATTAAACTGCAAAGAAATTTTTTAATAATAATAAGTAACACTTTCAAAGAATTGGAGATTCAAAGAGCTGTACAAACACTGATTCTCACAATACCCCACTGGAGCAGGGAGACACATATTATTATCTCATTTTACAGAGAGGAACACTGATATGGAGAGAGGTGAAATGATTTACCACACTCATAAAGGAAGTGATCAAATCAGGATTAAAATTCAGGATTTCCTGATTCTCAGTTTCATATTCATTCTTCAAGATGGAGAGCCAGATTCTGATCTCTGTTATTGAAAACATGTATAAATCCAGAGTCACTCCTTTGAAGTCAACAGAGTTCCTCTAAATTTATATCCCTTGTGGAAAAGTAATAATGAAACCAAAAGACATCTCTAGAAATTAAAAAGGATTCTTGACATATTAGTTGTGTATGTGTGTGTGTTTTTAATCACACTTTTTATTAAGGTTCCATCTATAAAGCATTAATAAATTATTAACAGATGTTTTAATAAATGGTTAATTGATTGTTGCAGAGTCCATCAAAAATTTACTCATAACTATGGCTTATAATGATCTGTAACATCTACTCATGTGCTTATAGCCATCTATACATATGCTGCTCAGAACCATAACATGCTTTTAATGTTCTTCATTTATTACTTCTTTGTAAACCATTTATAGATGGAATTTTAATATAAAGTGGGACCAAATAAATCACAGAAAGATTGGTCTTGTGGTTAAAGCATAAAACTGGGATTCAGGATATCTGGCTTCCAATATATCTTTGACCAAGATAATTAATCACTGTTCCTCAATTTTATATCTTTAAAATGAGATTAATAATACTTTATATCTCACTGGGTTGTTTTGAGTATAAATTAAGGTTTGTGAGGGGCCGAGATACTACAACGGTAAGAATCATATAACCACCTTAGCCCTCCATCTTTGCTCCTGTAACAAGCTCAGCTCATCTGGAATGGAGAATCAAAGTCTACATCTCTTGTATATTACAACAGTTAATATTTGGAATGGCCTGTAGGCAGCAGCTATCTAGTAATTGAGACAAATAACCAGATAAGAAGGCGCTGTACTAAGCTTGAATATTGTGGAAGTTGCTCTTTTCTAGAGCTTGTCAAAAATGTTTTAAAACTATGTTTTCAAAAAATGTCAGTGTTGTTTCTGTTTCACCAAGCTAACCCATTCTTCATTTTTCATTTTTTTTCCAGAAAAAAAATAATTAAAAATGCTCATTTCTTGAAAAATGGATTTCCAGTAAAAAATAAATTAGAGAACCATTTCAATAATGGAATTGATGACATTTTTGCTAAAAAACTTGGAAACAATTTAATGAAAAACAAAAAAAAATTGAAAACACAACAGAAATTTGGGGGAGATGTGGTGTTAAAGTCCATTTTTCTATTTAAAACCTTTTTGTTCAAAATATTTCAACCAGATCTACTCTTTATATACTTTGAGCCTGATTCTCCCTTGGCTTGTACCTGTACAAAATAGGTACCAAATGCTACCCAACCAGAAGGGTAGACAGCAATTTATATCAACTTTGCATAACTGTAAATGACTACACAAGGTGCAGGAGAGTGGAGAATCAGACCTAAACACCTTTCCATAGTTTATTCATTTTCAAATACACCTGGCCTGTGATCACCATTCATAAGCTTTTACTGTACAGTACCACAAATGCAAGAATCTACTGAGCACAGTGGATATTTTGTTTCACAGTAATTAAATGTAAGATATAATATTTGTACATGTAAAGAAACATTTAAGAATATCACTCTGTTTAACAAGGAACTGCACAAAATTTGTAGAAATCATACCTGGTACCTATCAGGAACATGGCCTTTTATTATGTTGGACACTTCATCAATTTCCAGACCTGCTCCTGAGTTTTCTTCTATTCCCATTGTGTCACAGAGGATAATAGGCAGAGGCTTGCCATCTCTTCCATCTTTAACTGGGTAAGTCCTGTACTATTGGGGCAAAAAAAAGTAAAATAGTATAGAAAGACATAGCTGAAAAATGAATATTTAGGGCCAGATTACTATTTCTTAACCATATTGAGTAATGCCTTTCTCATCAAAAGTAGATGCATAGAATTCAGTGGGGGCAATCATGGACTATCTTTGGGTTTTCCATTTAGTGCGGGAAAATGTTGATTTTTAACTGAGACTGTGATTTAGCTTGGATGTTTATTAATTAGAAGCAAATATTTACCTGTGTTGTCATGCTAGCATTATCGGATCCTGCTATGGCTTGGCTTGAAACATAACCTCAGAAAACTGAATTCACGGAGTTGAAAAAGCTGGACTTCCCAGCTCCAACTGGACCAAGAACCAAAATCCGAATCTGTGGCACTGAATTTAAATAAGGTTTGTAAGATCTGATTTCCTCCATTATTTTCCCTCTTTCCCTATTAAGACAAAAAGATTTGCATAAGTTCAAACACCCATGAGATCACAACACATGTTTTGCGCTACATATAGGCACAGTGAAATCAAGAAACTGTAAATATTCCCCATCCTTCCCTATACTCTGTTTTTAACTATCATCAAACACACACTGCTAAACAATCAGTGGGGCTATTGGATGATCAAGGTGTTAAAGGAGTAATCAAGGAAGATAACACCATTGCAGAGAAGCTAAATGAATTATTTGCATCAACCTTCACTGCAGAAGATGTGAGGAAGAGTCTCACACTGAGCCATTCTTTTTAGGTGACATATCTGAGGAACTGTCCCAGATTGAGGTGTCATTAGAGGAGTTTTGGAACAAACTGATAAATTAAACAGTAATAAGTCACCACGACCAGATGGTACTCATCCAACAGTTCTGAAGGAACTCAGGTATGAAATTGCAGAACTACTAACTGTGGTATGTAACCTATCATTTAAATCAGCTTCTGTACCAGATGACTGGAGGATAGATAACGTAACACCAATTTTTAAAAAAGGCTCCAGAGGCGATCCTGGCAATTATAGGGTGGTAAGCCTAACTTCAGTACCAGGCAGATTGGTTGAAACTATAATAAAGAACAGAATTATCAGAAACATAGGTGGACATGATATGCTGGAGAAAAGTTAACATAGCTTTTGTAAAGAGAAATCATGCCTCACCAATCTATTAGAATTCTTTGAGGGGGTCAACAAACATGTGGACAAGGATGATCCAGTGGATATAGTATACTTAGACTTTCAGAAAGCCTTTGACAAGGTCCCTCATGAAAGGCTCTTAAGCGAAGTAAGCAGTCATGGGATAATAAGGAAGGTCCTGTCATGGATCAGTGACTGGTTAAAAGATAGGAAACAAAGGGCAGGAACAAATGGTCAGTTTTCAGAATGTAGAGAGGTGAACAGGGGTTCCCTCAAGGATCTATACTTGAATCAGAGCTGTTCAACACATTCATAAATGATCTGGAAAAGGGGATAAACAGTGGGGTGTCAAAGTTTGAAGACGAAACAAAATTACTCAGATAATTAAGTCCAAAGCAGACTGCAAAGAGTTACAAAGGAATCTCACAAAACTGGTTTCAGAGTAGCAGCCGTGTTAGTCTGTATCCTCAAAAAGAAAAGGAGTACTTGTGGCACCTTAAAGACTAACAAATTTATTTGAGCATAAGCTTTCGTGAGCTATAGCTCACTTCATCGGATGCATTCAGTGGAAAATACAGTGGGGAGATTTATATACATAGAGAACATGAAACAATGGGTGTTACCATACACACTGTAATGAGAGTGATCAGGTAAGGTGAGCTATTACCAGCAGGAGAGTGGGGGGAAAAAAACTTTTGTAGTGATAATCAAGGTGTGCCATTTCCAGCAGTTGATGAGAACATCTGAGGAACAGTGGGGGGTGAGGGAGGGGAATAAACATGGGGAAATAGTTTTACTTTGTGTAATGACCCATCCACTCCCAGTCTTCATTCAAGCCTAAATTAATTGTATCCAGTTTGCAAATTAATTCCAATTCAGCAGTCTCTCATTGGAGTCTGTTTTTGAAGTTTTTTTGTTGAAGAATTGCAACTTTTAGGTCTGTAATCAAGTGACCAATGAGATTGAAGTGTTCTCCGACTGGTTTTTGAATGTTATAATTCTTGACGTCTGATTTGTGTCCATTTATTCTTTTATGTAGAGACTGTCCAGTTTGACCAATGTACATGGCAGAGGGACATTGCTGGCACATATCACATTGGTAGATGTGCAGGTGAACGAGCCTCTGATAGTGTGGCTGATGCGATTAGGCCCTATGATGGTGTCCCCTGAATAGATATGTGGGCACAGTTGGCAACGGGCTTTGTTGCAAGGATAGGTTCCTGGGTTAGTGGTTCTGTTATGTGGTGTGTGGTTGCTGGTGAGTATTTGCTTCAGGTTGGGGAGCTGTCTGTAAGCAAGGACTGGCCTGTCTCCCAAGATCTGTGAGAGTGATGGGTCGTCCTTCAGGATAGGTTGTAGATCTTTGATGATGCGTTGGAGAGGTTTTAGCTGGGGGCTGAAGGTGATGGCTAGTGGCTTTCTGTTATTTTCTTTGTTGGGCCTGTCCTGCAGTAGATAACTTCTGGGTACTCTTCTGGATCTGTCAATCTGTTTCTTCACTTCAGCAGGTGGGTATTGTAGTTGTAAGAATGCTTGATAGAGATCTTGTAGGTGTTTGTCTCTGTCTGAGGGGTTGGAGCAAATGCGGTTGTATCGAAGAGCTTGACTGTAGACAATGGATCGTGTGGTGCGGTCTGGATGAAAGCTGGAGGCATGTAGGTAGGCATAGCAGTCAGTAGGTTTCCGGTATAGGGTGGTTTTTATGTGACCATCGCTTATTAGCACCATAGTGTCCAGGAAGTGGATCTCTTGTGTGGACTGGTCCAGGCTGAGGTTGATGGTGGGATGGAAATTGTTGAAATTTTTTTTCCACTGAATGCCTCTGATGAAGTGAGCTTTAGCTCACGGAAGCTTATTCACGAAAGCTTATGCTCAAATAAATGTGTTAGTCTCTAAGGTGCCACAAGTACTCCTTTTCTTTTTGAAATCATGGTGGAATTCCTCAAGGGCTTCTTTTCCATGGGTCCAGATGATGAAGATGTCATCCAGATGATGAAGATGTCATCAATGTAGTGACTAGGCAACAAAATGGCAGATGAAATTCAATGTTGAACATAATCCCAACTATACGTACAAAATGATGGGGTCTAAATTAGCTGTTACTACTCAAGAAGGAGATCTTGGAGTTACTGTGCTCTGAAAACATCCACTCAATGTGCAGCAGCAGTCAAAAAAGCTAACACGATGTTAGAAACCATTAGGAAATGGATAGAGAACAAGACAGAAAATATCATGATACATCTATATAAATCCATGGGACGCCCACATCTTGAATATTCTGTGCAGATCTTGTCACCCCATCTCTAAAAATATATATGGGAATTGGAAAAAGTACAAAGAAGGGCAACTAAAATGATTGGGGTATGGAACAACTTCCGTATGAGGAGAGATTAGAAAAGATTGGGACTTTACATCTTAGAAAAGAGATGACTAAGGGGGGATATGATAGAAGTGTATAAAATCTTCACTGGTGTATAGAAAGTGAATCAGGAGGTGTTATTTACTCCTTCTCATAACACAAGAACTAGGGGTCACCCAATGAAATTAATAGGCAGCAGGTTTAAAACAAACAAAAGGAACTACTTTTTCATACATCACACAGTCAACCTGTGGAGCTCTTTGCCAGGAGATGTTGTGAAGGCCAAAACTATAATAGGATTCAACAAAGAAGTTAATGGCAGATAGGTCCATCAATAAATATTAGCCAGGACGGGCAGGAATGCAACACCATGCTCTGAATGTCCCTAGCCTCTGCTCGCTAGAAGCTGGGAGTGGATGACAGGGGATGATCATTTGATGATTGCATGTTCTGTTCATTCCCTCTGAAGCACCTGGCATTGGCCACTATCAGAAGACAGGATGTTGGGCTAGATGGACCATTGGTCTGACCTACTATGGCTATTCTTATGTTCTTATGTATATAGTCTACTGAGGACCGTTGCAGCAGCCAGAGTGACCATGGTTGATGGTGTCACACCAGGCATCATGTTGTGAAGTTCCTAGATATGGCTCAATCCTGCGAATCCATAAATCTCCAGGGTAGTCTCATAGACACACCAGGTAGAATCAAGACATGTCAATGGAGAGTTTGAGAGCATCCTGGTAATGTGGCCAAAGAGCAGGCAGTGGTGCTTTTGAATATAGGTGAGCAACAGAAGAACAGACAGATCTCTTTGAGAGTATGACCTTCACACAAAGTCAAACCACTTTATGCTCAGGATTTGGTGCTGACATCACATATGGAATGGATATTTAATTATGGTGTCCTCTATTTTGGGTGCCCAATTTAAAACACCTGATTTTCAGAAAGTGCTGAGTACCCACAGTTCTTATTGAAGCCAATGGGAGATTCAGGTTCACAGCACATATACAGATCTGCCCTAAGGTGTCTCAATCTTTATACCCTAAATCAGTGGTCATATTTAAAAATTTTGAAAACACATTTAACCAATCCTGCCTAAAAGAGTTGCTTTGAATGTCACAAGGGAATTAAATCTCTGTTGCAATGTGCTTGCTCTGTCACAAGAACTGCAGCAAAGTTAAATTAACTCAAACAGGTTTAGAAGTAACTAAAAGCTATTAGGTGTGTTGGGTTAATCAAGTTTTCACAACATATGTATACAGAGCATACAAGCTGTCATGCATTACACATGTATTCAGGTAACCAACTTCAGGTACCGTAAACCACCAAATGCAGCTTAGGTCTTGTAAGCTGCGCACTGTGAAAACATAGCAAATAAGCAGAATCCGGCAGAACTGACACATCTGAACCAACATCTAGCATGCAGTCATTGGAGTGTGACTGTTTTCTAGGTGTGCAACTGCCAACATAGCAAAGGAGTTTCTGAATAGGATGAGGTGAACAGCAATTCTCTACACTCACGGTTATAACATCAGGCACTGTGACTTTGTGTTCCTGATTTCTGAAGTAAGGACAGTGGCATGTTTTATAGAAATGTCTTTTTACACTGTTGACACATGGCATCTTTGACTTGCTAACTATGTACAGGCATCTTTGACTTGCTAACTATGTACAGCATATATGCTTAGTGGAAGCACAGCATTCTTTCATGGAGGGTGTTTTAACTAACCTGACATCTGTTGGAAAATAAGACAGCAAAGCACAAAATGTCCAACAAGTTCTCTGAATGTGCTGGGGACACTGTTTGTTTCAGACAGTGAAGGAAGTAACTAAGTGGCAACCATTTTAGACTTCATTCTGAATAACAAGGAGGAAGTGGCTGCGAATCTGAAGGTAGAAGACAATTTGGAAGTGATCATGAAATGACAGTGTCAAGGTTCCTCCCCCACTCTGAACGCTAGGGTACAGATGTGGGGACCTGCATGAAAGCCTCCTAAGCTTATCTTTACAGCTTAGGTCAAAAACTTCCCCAAGGTACAAAATATTCCACCCTTTGTCCTTGGATTGGCCACTACCACCACCAAACTAATACTGGTTACTGGGGAAGAGCTGTTTAGAAACGTCTTTCCACCCCCAAATACTTCCCAAAACCTTGCACCCCTGAACAAGGTTTGGTAAAAAGCCTCACCAATTTGCCTAGGTGACTACAGACCCAGACCCTTGGATCTTAAGAACAATGAACAAACCTCCCAACACTTGCACCCCCTCCTTTCCTGGGAAATGTTGGATAAAAAGCCTCACCAATTTGCATAGGTGACCACAGACCCAAACCCTTGGATCTGAGAACAATGAAAAAGTATTCAGTTTTCTTACAAGAAGACTTTTAATAGAAATAGGAGTAAATAGAAGTAAAGAAATCCCCTCTGTAAAATCAGGATAGTAGATACTTTACAGGGTAATTAGATTCAAAACATAGAGAATCCCTCTAGGCAAAAACTTAAGTTACAAAAAAGATACACAGACAGAAATAGTTATTCTATTCAACACAATTCTTTTCTCAGCCATTTAAAGAAATCATAATCTAACACGTACCTAGCTAGATTACTTACTAAAAGTTCTAAGACTCCATTCCTGGTCTATCCCCGGCAAAGGCAGCATAAAGACAGACCCACAGACCCTTTGTTTCTCTCCCTCCTCCCAGCTTTTGAAAGTATCTTGTCTCCTCATTGGTCATTTTGGTCAGGTGCCAGCGAGGTTACCTTTAACTTCTTAACCCTTTACAGGTGAGAGGAGTTTTCCTCTGGCCAGGAGGGATTTTAAAGGGGTTTACCCTTCCCTTTATATTTATGACAGATAGATTTCATGTTTCTAAGGACAAGGAGTGGAAGCAGCAGCCGGAAGAAAATGAACTTCAAAAAAGCAGACTTTAATGAACTCCGAGAAGTGGTAGGTAAGGTCCCATGGGAAGAAAATGTAAGGGAAAAAGAAGTTCAGGAGAAATGGCAGTTTCTCAAAGAGACAATATTAAATGCACAGCACCAGACTATCCAGATGTGAAGGAAAGCTAGGAAGAATAGTAAGGGGCCAATATGCCTCCATCAGGAGCTTTTTCATGACCTGAAAATCAAAAAAAGAATCCTACAAAAAGTGGAAATGTGGACAAATTGCTACAGATGAGTACAGAAGAGTAGCACAAGGGACAAAATCAGAAAGGCTAAGGCACCAAATGAGTTACGCCTAAAAATGGACATTAGAGCAGGGTGGATTATTTACATTTTGTTATTTAAATTATAACAATTTTTTCTTTTTAAAGATGAACCTGTTTAAAATGAAATCTGAAATTAATACAAAATATATTAAGGCCTAAATGTATAATCTCTTAAAAGATTTAAATAAAAAAATTAGTATGCTGAATCCATGAGTCTCCATCAAAACCTTTGAGTTAAAAGCTGCTTTTCTATATAAAAAAAGTATCAGGTGGAAAACATTTAACTTTTGAGGTCAAGCTTTAGAAATATGACATAAGAGTAGTAAATAAGCAATACATCATTCACTATTTTCTAACATACTAAAAATGTACAATTAATAAGAATCTGAAAATATTAAGCTATATAGTGCTTAAATAAATGCATATAATTATAATTGTTAGAGAGCTTATTCCTTCACTCTCCCACTTCCCTGGTCCTTCTCACATGAACAGAGAGCAACAATACCCGAAGTCCGAAGGTGCAAACAATTCGATGTTTATTGGGGTGAACTTCCAGCAAGCTTAAATACAAGTTCCTTTTCCTTATTTCCGAATCCCAACTTACTTCCTGTTTGCCCCTAATTTATATAGTAATATTCTTAGCTATACCTTAACCAATCATTCTACTAAAATTTAACTAACCAATCCTAACATATTGTAACATGATTATGTAACCAATTATATCCCACCACCTTAATTAGTTTACACCCAGCAAAATTAATTATACAGCAGACAGGAACAATCACAGAACCAGACAGAGATTATACAGACAAACAATAGCAAAGTGGGAACTATAATGGCAAGACAATACAGAAGTGAGGATTTCACATCCCAGTATTGATAAGTGAGTTCTTGCCAGACAGGATGCTATCAAACTAAGTTTTCTTTTACATTTTCTAGGCACTTCCCTTTCTCTGGAGCTGATAGGCATACAATCCTGTCCTGATAGTGCCTAACAGCCCAATAGCACCTTATTTCAATGTGACTAGTTTGGAATGTGAGGATGTGACCGTTCGCTTCCCAGCTTATGGCTGCCTCTGCTGCTTAGCCAAAGGCCTTAGTCTAAGAACAGGGCCCCAGACTGTCACAGTAAGAGAAGGACCTTACATTGGCAGACAGTGATTTTGATTCTTTCTTTTATGCCTCTAACTAGCCAAGTGATAAGAATACACCTAAATTCTTAAAGTACAGGCCTTTACAGGCAGGCCTGAATATCTATATCCTAACAATAATGTACCTGCCTAGGTAGCAAAAAGATGAACCAAATTTAGTGTAAAGCCTCTATTTAGTTGTAAATCAACATGTTTTAATGGTTATATCAACCAATGAGAATGCACCTTTCATTAGAAAATAACTGAAATTGATTAAAATGGATTATTTAAATCACGACTTTCCACTTGGTGATTTAGATCAATCCACCTGCATAAAAGGCAATAAAAATAAGTTTTATAAATACATTAGGAGCAATAAAAAGACAAGGGAAAATGTAGATCCACTAGTTTGTGGGAAGGAGAGCTAATAACAGATGACATCAAGAGGTGTTTAATGCCTATTTTGCTTCAGTCTTCACTAAAAAGATAAACTGTAACCAGATACTTAACACAATTAATATTAACAACAAGGGGAAAGGAACATAACCAAAAACAGAAAGAACAAGTTAAAGAATAAGTTAGATGTATTTAAGTTTGCAAAGCCTGATGAAATTCACCCTAGGAATTAGCTGAAGCAATCTCAGAACCATTAGCAATTATCTTTGAGAACTCAGGGAGAATGGATGAAGGACTGGAGAAGAGCAAACACAGTATTTATCATTAAAAAGAGGAACAAAGAGGACTTGGGGAGTTACAGACCTGTCAGTCTAATTTTGATACATGGAAAGATACTGGAACAAATTATTAAACAATCAATTTGTAAGCATGTAGAGGATAACAGGGTGGTAAAAAATAGCCAACATGGCTTTGTGAAGAACAAATCATGCCAAACCAACATAACCAGTGGATCACAAGTGAAGCTGTAGACATGATCTATTTTGTTTTTAGTAAGGTTTTTGACAGAATCCTATATGACATTCTCAGAAGCAAATTAGGGGCATATGGTCTAGATGAAATTATTACAAGGTGGGTGCAAAACTGGTTAAAGAATATACTTAAAAGAGCATTTATCAAGGGTTTGCTATCATACTGGGTGGACATATCTAGCGGTTCCACAGGGGTTGGTCCTGGGTTGGACTTGAATAATTAAGTGGAGAGTACACTTATAAAATCTGTGGATGACACCAAGCTGGGAGGGGTTGCTAGCACTTTGGAGAACAGGATTAGAATTCAAAAGGATCTTGACAAATTGGAGAATTAGTCTGAAATCAATAAGATGCAATTCAATAAAGACAATGCCAAGTACTAAACTTAGGAAGGAAAAATCAAGTGTGGAGTTACAAAATGGGGAATAACTCTCTAGGTGGTAGTCCTGTTGAAGAGGATCTGGGGGTTATAGTGGCTCACAAACTGAACAGGAGTCAACAATGTGGTGCAGTTGCAAAAAAGGCTAATATCATTTTGGACTCTGTTAACATCAGTGTCAAATGTAAAGCAAGGTAGGTAATTCTCCCACTTTACTCAGCATTGGTGAGAGGCCCCAGCTGGAGTACTGTGTCCAATTCTGGGCACTATAATTTAGGAAAGATGGACAAACTGGAAAGAGTCCAGAGGAGAGCAACAAAAATGATGAAAAGTTTAGAAAACCTGATCTATAAGGAAAAGCTAAAAAAACTGGGCATGTTTAGACTTCAGAAAACAAGACCTAGGGGGGCTTGATAACAGTCTTCAAATATTAAGGACTGTTATAAAGAGAAGGGTGATCAATTGTTCTCCATGCTCACTAAAGGTAGGACAAGAAGTAATGGACTTAATCCGCAGCAAGGGAGATTTAGATATTCAGAAAACCTTTTTAAGTATAAGGAGAGTTAAGCTCTGGAATAGCTGCTTAATCATGGTCTGTAATCCTCCGGAATGTCACTTTAAGTCTCTGCTATAGCAGACTCAGTGTGGCTAAAATAAACATAGCTTTTCATGAAGTTTATTTTGGTTCAGACATTAATTACTCATTTATATTTGATCTGTTCTGAAATCATCATTTTGTACTTATCCCCAGATTGTGAGGTGCTCAGACACTATGGTCATAGGTGCCATATTAGTACCTAAGAAACACAGATAAGCAACTCAGCAACACATGTCTGTCTACTCTAGCACCATCTAGTTAATTCCTAAAGTAACTCACATCACCACAGTATTTGGTGGCCACAGATCATGATAGTGATATATTACAACAGTTAACTTACTCAGTTGTCCAGGTAATTTTTCTCCATGGAGATTCCAGGAAACTGCTAATATCTAGGGGAAAGGAACATATAACATTAAGAGTACGAAGCTATAATTTCCTCAGTAAACATTTTCTCTTTTGGTATCAACTTACCTTCAACTCGATACACCTCACATTCCATAAGGCCTAGATCATTTCCATGCAGGTCAGCAACATTGAATGTGTAATTATTGTTAGACCTTGTTACTGCGGCTGCTGCATTTTGGTTCAACAAATGTAGTGCTCCACCGCCAAAATTAGGGCCATTGTCACTACAGTCATATATAGCACCTGATGCAGTTTTAACAGGAATTTTTAGTGGGCTGAGCACACCCTCTTTGCCTTTTAATCTAAAGAGAAAAGCCTTCTCATCATGTATGTACTCTCCAGATGAAACATAGCTCTGATGTGTCAAGCATCCAAAAATATAACCACTTCCATTATATGCTATTGCTACAGTTGGCCCTTGTGCATTACACTTGGCATGAAATGTAGAAGCATTGTAACCATGGACGCTTGCTTTATAGAGAAGAGAGAATTGTCTGCCTCCCAACAAATGTTGCAGTTGCTTTACTTCATCTTGTGTTAATCTAGATTTGACACCAGCCATTCTTCTTACTCTAAAAAGACAGAAAAGATGTTACAAATACAAGTATAACAAAAAGAAAAATCTATCATTATTTTTAACTCATCTCACCAAAGACAGTAGTGAAGGCCTTTGTTCCCCATGGAATAAAGTGGCGTGTTAGTAAGTCATTATCATCATCATTGGTAGTTTTATTCCATGAGTATCTGCAGTCCCCAACTGAGGTCAAGGCCACAGGGTGTTAGGCACCGTCCAAACACATAGTTAGAGACAGTCCCTAACCCAAAAAGTTTATGGTGAAAATAAACAAGACACACAAATAGGGGAAGAAAGATATTGTTGTCCCCATTAACACATTGGGGAAATGAAGCAGAAAGAGTCAGCATAGCTTCATGGACATCACAGCAAAACAATTTTTCTACCTGAATGGAGACAAAATATTCTTAAAACATATTGCCCAATTTTGTTGCCTTTCCTCAAGCAAAACTCCTACTAACTTCAATGCAGATTAGGCCCATTTTATCAAAATGGTGAAACCGTTAATACTGCAACCTGCTTGTAATCTTACTTACACTGGATAACTCCACTGACTTCACTGATTTATGGTGGTGGAAATGAGAGCAGATACACGTTCACTGTCTCAGAAACATAGTTCCTACTTTATGGAGTGAATATTTTTCTCTTTCCAAGAACAAAATAATGGCCATACTGGGTCAGACCAATGGTCCATCTAGACCGGTATTCTGTCTTCTGACAGTAACCAGTGCCAGATGCTTCAGACGGAATAAATAGAACAGGGCAATTTTGAAGCTTCTGGCATTTTGGAGGTTTAGGGTCATCCAGAGCATGTGGTTGTAGCCCTGACCATCTTTGCTAATAGTCATTAAAGAGCTATCCTCCATGAACTTATGTAATTCTTTTTTGAACCCAGTTATACTTTTGTCTTTCACAACATCTCCTGGCAACGACTTCCACAGGTTGACTGCGCTGTGTGAGGAAGTACTTATTTTTATTTGTTTTTAACCTGCTACCTATTAATTGTATTAGGTGACCCCTATTTCTTGTGTGATGTGAAGAGGTAAATAACACTTCCCTATTCACTCTTTCCATACCATTCATGATTTTATAGAACTCTATCATATCCTCCCTTAGTCATCTCTTTTCTAAACCAAACAGTCCCAATCTTATTAATCTCTCTTGGTATGGAAGCCATTCCATACCCCTAATCATTTTTGTTGCCCTTCTCTGCACCTTATCCATTTCTATTATCTTTTTTGTGATGGGATGACCAGAACTACATATAGTATTCAAGGTGTAGGTGTACCATGGATTAAAATAATGGTATTATGATATTTTTTATTTTATTATCTATCCTTTTCCTAATGGTTCCTAAGATTGTTAGCTTTTTAGACTGACAATGCACATTGAGTGGATGTTTTCAGAGAACTATCCACAATGAAACCAACATGGTCTCTTTTTTGGTGAGGTATACCTTTAGGCAATTTGGAGCTGCCTATATAGGATATCAAAGTCCTGAGTATCATGTCAGAAGGTATATACACCATTTTATTATTCTTCATTGTAGAGATAAAAAAGAAATATAAAACTTTACTCTTTCAGTCCTTTATCTGTAAATACGCAAACTTTCAAGATCACTGACTGCTTAATTTCATATTAACAAATCTCTCCATGGCACAGTGCATACACTTTGCTTGGAAATGTACAGTACATACTGTCCTGTATGAATGTTCTTGTCTTGTTTCCAACTTGGAAAATTTAAAAAGAACATTCTTCAAAAGATTTCCAAAGTATTCCTCTGTCCAAATATATTAGAATGATGAGACAGAAAATATGAAACTCTACATTCTACTATTGGTAGGGGAGTGCTTTCTAAACACACTATGCTCCCTGCTTATCAAGATGTGCTAGACTTAACACTTGTTGTTTTGGGTACATGCAGAATGACTTCTCTTTCAATGGTAAGCCAATAATTTCTCTGCTCTCTGCCCTATTCTCTGCCCTGAATAGGATGATCCAGGATTCAGTAATTACCTCTACAATCTTAGGAATATTTAGTTTAGAAAAGCCCATTAGAATTAGAATTACAGTAGAACCTCAGAGTTATGAACACCAGAGTTATGAACTGACCAGTCAACCCCACACCTCCTTTGGAACCAGAAGTACGCAATCTGACAGCAGGAGACACCAAAAAAAAAAAAAAAGTATAGTACTGTGTTAAATGTAAACTCCAAAACAAAAAAAAAGGAAAAAATTTAAAAAGATTTGACAAGGTATGAAAACTTTCTGTGCTTGTTCAGCATTTTTCTTCTTCATAGTAAAGTTTCAAAGCTGTATTAAGTCAATGTTCAGCTGTAAACTTTCAAAAGAACAACCATAATGTTTTGTTCAGAATTGCAAACATTTCAGAGTTACAAATAACCTCCATTCCCCAGGTGTTCTTAACTCTGAGGTTCTACTGTACTTGAAAGTTCTCCACCTAGCCTATAGGTGGAGCTTGAGTGTTGAAGTTACCCTGAATAAATCAAGATTTACATTACTGTAACGTGCCTACAGGTATAACTTGAACCAGAACTTATATAATACCATATTCACAATTCTGAATCCACATTTAAGTCACTGGTGTTACACCAGCATAACTCACAAGCAGATTTTTGCCCTTCTTTGGGTATTAGTTAAAGGGATGATAGGGGGAGTATTTCACTTCCTGTCTTGGTTATATCACAAACTGACAGGATTTGGCACTCAGCAGCCACTGCTACTGTCCTTCACTGCTGAATGCCAACTTCCCCTAGGTCTCTGTAGCAGAGGCTTTGCTAACATGTTCAGTGTCAAACAAGGAGATTTCTTTTAAACAGTGCTTTTAGCTCAGAGGTGATGTTATGGAACAAGGGAATCCAGAATAGGATGGATGTTATTTTCACCTCATTGGTAGCTGGCACAACTCTCTCATTCTGGCTCTTCAATCATGACACTTCCTCCTTGCTCAGCACAGTTAATGTATAAACGGCTTTCTGAAGCCTGGCCTCGGATATGCAGGACTCCACCAGCTAAAGTGATCAATATCTGATTTAACTCTCCTCTGGTCTGATCTGAAACACATAATTTAGCATTTTGATGGCAAGAATTGCTTCAACCAAGTTACAATGCAGGTGTAAAAGCTAGCAAAGGGAAATGAGATCATCTTCTAACTCACGACACCAGCTACAAGTCAGAGCATAGCATCATAGAAAGAGACATTTTCTGACCGCAGCCTGCCAGCACTTAAAACCCAAACATTCCCTCAATCCTTCTTAACATTTTAATATATATATATATATATATATATATATATATATATATACACACACACGCTCTTACTGTGGAAGTTCTTCTGTTGGGAAAGATCAGGACAGAGAAGAAATGAAATTGAAAGTCAAACATTTACAGCCCAGCTGCCAATAGCAAAGCTGCCAGTGCTGTTGAATTTCTCCTGTCAGCCCCTATAAACTTACCAGCTCAGAGACAATTCAGCTAAAACATAAAAGAAAGGTGGTGTGATCTCCAGCTTCAAATGAAAGCCAGTGCTACATGGAACACGCATGGTGTAATAAGGAAAGTAGAGGTTAAACTTTGAAATAAATAAAGAGTTATTGCAAAGTATTGTTTAAAAGTGAAGGTTTTGTGGGTGAAATCTTGGCTCCATTGAAGTAAATGGAAGCTGACTTCAGTGCCAGGATTTCACCCTGCAAGTGCTAAGTAGGGTGCATATTGGAATGGCAGCACTGCTCACTGCCACTGCTCAGGTGTCGACAATAGGCAGGGCAGTAGAGAACCGGACTATCCAGTCTCTGTAAATGCAATGAAAAGTTTTGGAATTCCTTTTTCAGGTTGATTTTCAATTAAAAACCAAGGTTTGACCCTTTGTGATTTTGTCTGAAAGCTTCATTGTCCAGGGGTGCTGTTTTCATGGTATGCATTTGATCTTTGCAGTTAAAAGCTAGACCCTTCTCTAACACGGGGGCAGTCAGAGGCAGCATATTTCTGTCCAGGGCAGCCTGGGAGTGCCCATTCCATTGACACCTCACACCCACGCTGAATGCCTACTGGAAATAGCATCATCTTTTTAATACTATTTTCTCAGGTGAAAGAAAAGATCAGGAAGGCTTGGGTGGGGCCAGGTTTCTCCAGAAGCCAAGCACAGGACAGCCATACCCTTCTGGCAAGGACTGTATGAGACAGGGGCCTCACAGGCAGGAGAGAGTCTCGCACCCATTTCCCCTGTCCATTTCCCACAATGCCAATGCACATCAGGGGCAGGGTTTCCCTGACTCTCCCTGTCCCGCTCTCCCTTTGCTCCTCCCACTCTCTCTCTCTCTCCTACACAGAGGGTGGAGAAGAGGGTGGGAAAGGAGCAGAAAGAGAGAGGAATGACTGGAGAGGAGCAGATCCTGAGGATGGGGTATGGAATGCAAGGGGCCGAGAGGCAGTGAAGGAGGAAATGGGAGGGTGGAGGCTGTTCAGCTGAGCCAGCTAACTTCCTGGACACAGGAAAGAGAGAGAGAAGACTGGTTGTGGGGGAGGAGGGGGAGAATCGGTTCAGGCAATTTTTACTTACCCACGGTTCCTTCCCCTGAGTCAGGCTTGCCCAGGCTCAACTGTTGGGACTGACTGGACTGCAGTCAATGGAGTCTTGAAGAGGTCCTGCAGCTGCTGCAGTGAGCTGGCTCACAGCATAGCTGGACCTATCACATGTCCCCCATCCTCCTCCTCCTTGTCCCCACGATTCATGCCAGGGGCCTGTGGCTTTTTTTGGCAAAAGTGGCCATTTGTCCCGTTTGCACTTTGCTAACTGATGATGATCAACTGGCAAGAGCAATGAGACAAATGCCTACTTTTGCCAAAAAAGTGGGGTGCACACCTCTAGCGGGGCACAGAGCAATGAAGGGAACAAGCAGCAACGCCAGCCCTGTGGGGACAGGGGACAGGGCTCCAGTAAGCAGGGATGCCAGCCACGTAGGGAGGCA